TTTCAGCATTGCTTGGAGACCAGATTTTGGAGTCAGATTTGAACCCAGAGCCTATTACTTCGCCAACTTACCCGTGGACTCTACATTAATAAGACATTTGGTATGATGGGTTACATGTTTAAACGTAATAAGAATTAAAATTCCGACTTAATCTCTTTGGTTTGTTGTTTCTTAAAGGAACGTTTTGTAACCTTATTGTATGGGCACCACGGTGGTGAGATGTTAACTACCTCGCCTGGCATGCAAGAGGCCATAGGTTTGACCCTAACCCTGGCGCCTGTATATTTGGAGTTTGCGTGTCTCTCTCCCCATGGTCGCGTGGATTTTCTCCGGGTCCTACAGTTTTCCCCTCCATATTTATAAACACGCTTTTAGAGTATTTGGCTGCTATACATTTACACGTGATAAGCTTCTTCGTTAGGCCCTCGTTTGTGATGGCCAGGTCGCTTCTGAAAAAGAGCTACATAGCTCAGTGGGCCTTACCTGGTAATAAAAAAAAAATCATTTATATTCTTTGGTTCTTTCGGTGAAGTCATGTAGATAGAAAAATAAAAAAATGATAAAAAAATAAACTAATAAAATAACAAAAAAACATTAATATAGACTGTAGCCTGGTTCTTAATGTATTTAGTTTTTTTATTATGTTATTTTTTTATTATTTTTCTATCTACGTGACTTTACCGAAATAGCCAAATAAGACGAATTCCTGCAGTCACGAAAGTTTGAAGTCAAAACGTAATTTTATTGCTTTATATTTTTTATTATTGTATTGTTTCCCTTCTACGTGACTTTACCGAAAGAACCAAGAATATGAATATCAAAATGTAAAATGTATTTCTGTTTGTATCGCTTGTCACCTGCTCCGTGGTTTGTGTAAAAAATTTTGTTGCGTGACTTGTCCACCAGGTCTTCTTCGGTGACTCAATGAGGGTGAAAAAACCGCACGAGAAAGCAACACGTACTGTACGTTAAGTACACGTGGCCTCCTGTAACCTCAAGGATCCCCCCCCACACACACATCTCCCCGTGCTAAATTCAAGGAAATGGAAAAGAACCAGCTGAATGCCTGTTTTTGTTGTAGACGTGAAAAACATGTTGATTTTAAACTTAGGGGCCGTCCATAAATGACGTCACGCACCTGGGAGGGGGGGGGTCAGACATTTGTGATGATGTGTGACGGGGGGGGGGGTTTGAGAAATGTGACGTCACATCACAATGCGCAACTTTAAATAAATATAGGCAACACGTTCTACTTTATTAAATTGACTTTTTAATACATGTTTTCTCCTACAACATCAGAGTGCAGCGCCACATTAAATACGCATTACAATAACAATAGTTTAAAGCGATTTGAAGGATTTTTTGGGGGGGTGGGGGGGGCAGAGCTTTGTGACGTCATATTTGAGGGGGGGGGGTCTGACTTTTTGTGACGCCGTGTGACGAAGGGGGGGGGTGGTCAAAAATCGTCCAGAATCGCGTGACGTCATTTATGGACGGCCCCTTATCCCGTGCAGAGCAGCGCGAGCTGTAGGGACGGGCCCAGCCGGTGCACAACGCGACGGGAAAGAAGTAAAATCCAAATTGAGACCGGAGGGCACTTGGGCAACATGGGGCCAGAGAACGCGTCACGCCACATTTGCGTAGTAATAACCCTCTCAGGCACGAGTTATTCAAAGCTAAATGTAGTGTAAAATGTTCCGTGTTGATACGGGGTTACAGGGAACCCCGCCCTAACAAGGGTGGACCAATAAATTTCAAGGACAGTGCCAATACATTGTCGGCGTTGTCTTTTTTGTTTGCGTTTTCTACCGCAAGTGTTGTGGTTAATGCAAGCATGATCCCTTGTTAAAAGGTATCAGCTTTGTTGCCAGATAAAAGGGTAAAAACCTATTCTTATAATATTAAGTGTTGAAAAGCTGTACCCTCTAGCACGGTTGGCTAACGTACGGTGTGAAAGTAGTTCAACATACGTGCGTGCGTACATACGTGTTCCTATCATTTCACATGGGGGTCCTATGAATCCCGGGCAGGCCGAGGCAGTGGAGGCGATGCAGCGTGCGTCACAATGGGATTCTGCCGTCACCCAGCGAGAAGCAGCTGGGGCTGGTTGTTTTGTAATCATCAAGTAGTCAACAAGACGACTGGTCACACGTTGCCGTTTTTATTTATTTTCTTCAAGGGTCGGGTTGATACGTAAAGCATTTCAATATTCTGTTGCCTCCGTCGGTGCAATTTCTTTACACCTGCTTCTTATTGTTTAGTTTAACACGTGGGCTTTCGTGACCAATATTATTCATAATAAAGTTTTTTGGGTTATATCGCGTGAGTATTGTGTTGTAACCCTCCACCACCCGACACAGTAGATTTGCCAGAATCGCCCGATGATGCTGGTCGATGTAATTACCAGCGAAACGTCGTACTACTCAAATTGGAAATGTGGATTTACTCTCCAACACACCGGTGGGCTGAAGTAGTAAACTAATTGGCGCGTTGTTTACGTGACAAACCTTACTGGCTGTGTCGGGTGGTGGAGGGTTACGACACAACATTTATACTTACACGATCTAAACCAAAAACCTTTATTATTTTTATTGTTTAGTTTGTCCTCCTTTCCCCGCACCTCCGATTGGCTACATACGGTGCGTAAGAAGTTCAACATACATACAAAATTCAGCAAAAATATAAATTTACTCGAGTCGTTTTCTCTCCCGATTTTGCTTTTCGATAGCAGACATATCACGTAATCAAAGACTTCCGTACCCTCACACAGCCGTGAAGTGTAAGAGCAGCAGCAATCAATTATGTTTTCGTGTTCTTTAAGGATGCGAAATAAGTGACATGTATCGACTAATGATGCTGCAACGTGACAAAAGCTGCGTTAATCGTGACAGCATTTAAAAAAGAAATGACTGGAATGGCTACAATCAGGACGGGAAATTGTTGTGATGACAACATGAATGGTTGGCCAGTTGACGCTTTACCTCCAGCCAATGTTTCTCGTGTGGAGTTGTTGGGTGCCACAGTGGCGAGGTGTTAACTACCTCGCTTGGTATACAGGAGGTCGTGGGTTCGATCCAGTCTCTGACGCCTGCTGCTGTATATTTCGAGTTTGCGTGTTTCTCTCTCTCCCCGTGGTCGTGCAGAGTTTTCCCCTCCACAGTTAGAAACATGCCTTTAGAGTATTTGGTTAAGAGTATTTGGTTTAGAGCATTTGGTTAAGAGTATTTGGTTGCTGTCAATGTCCACGTGATAAGCCACTTCGTTAAGCTATCATTTGTGGCCAGGTCGCTTCTGAAAAAGAGCTATGCACTCTTTGTTTTTTCGGTAAAGTCACTTAGAAATAAAAAATAATAAAATAAAATTGCATAATAGCATACGACGTTTAGATTGCAACGCAAGCAATCATCATCAGGTATAGAAGAGCTAAATTTAAGAGAGAGAGGAAACGTATGCTATTATGTAATTTTTTTTTATTATTTCGTATTTCTACGTGACTTTACCGAAAAAAACCAAGGAGTAATTCCTGCAGTCACGAAAGAACCAAATCAAGTTGAACCACCTCTACGGGGAGGTATGAAGTATGTTTCTTTGTGTTGTCTCTGTTTGTGTCTCCGTGGTACGTGTCGTGTCTCTCTCTCTCAAATGTCACACTTAACTTAAGTTTGTGTCTCTATGTTGTCTCTACTTGTGTTTCTGCCTCTGTGTCTACGTGTATGTGGCTTGTTTCTCTCCACAGTCCCTGTGGGCATGCTAATCTGACTTCTGCATGTACGGTGGCTCCCAGTACATCTAATTTGTATTCCTTTGGTCTGTCTCCAACCCCCCCCCCCCACTCCCTCCCCTCTATTTAAGGCTTCGACACAGAAGCATTGTTTCACTCTGTCCCATGTGTGTGTCTCTCTCTGTGTGTCTCTGTGCTAACTCTCTGCTTGGATGTCTATATATGTGTCTGTGATCTGTACTCTATCACTCTTAACCTATAATTTAGCAATCTTTGAAATAACGTAATCAGCCAGACCATGCGTTAATTGTGTTTTGACCGACCCTCTGTGCTGCATTATATTGTTTCCAAATTTCACTAAATCTTGTTCAATTTGATGTGCTTCTCCATCTCTCTGTGTTTCCTCTCTCTCTTAAATTTAGCTCTTCTATACCTGATGATGATTGCTTGCGTTGCAATCGAAACGTCGCATGCTATTATGTAATTTTATTTTATTACTATTTCTTATTTCTACGTGACTTTACCGAAAAAAACAAAGAGTAATTGCTGCAGTCACGAAAGCACCAAATCAAGAGCTATGTAGCTTAGTAGGTTTGACCTGGTAAAACATTGTTTAGTTTAAATAGTTTTAGGTTATGGACAAGTGAGTTGGAAGCATATATCAGAGATTATCGGGATAAGTGTGGAAGTGGTTAATTACATAATCCATGACAAGTTGTATTTTGAATGCGGTTCATCAATGATGGAACTCTTGAAATCTAAACGTCACCATTCGTGTTTTCATCTCCGGATGTTTCGACAGCCAACCACGAGACCTTTAATTCCGGCCAGGCCACGCGCCAGTTTCCGAGGGTTAACTGCTTTAGAATAACTCAACGGTGCTCACGCTGTACTCTTAAATGTCTCACGATTGGCTGTCGAAACGTTCACAAATGAAATCACTACGGTGGGAGGAAGGATCTCGTTGGCGAGGTCGGTCCTTACCCATAATTGTCTAGACATTTAAGGCGACGAGGCTGTGAAAGCAGTAGTGCCATCAATGGATTAAGGACACAGCCACAATTACTTCTGTGCTGTTGGCATTAGGAATAGGTGTGGGCTGATGAGGCGCGTGCATATTAGTAACGGGTGACTGTGCGGGGAAAGAGTGGTAATGTTCTTTGGTTCTTTCGGTAAAGTCACGTAGGTATAAAATAAAACAAAATAAATCACGACGCGTTCGGGCGCAACACAAGCGTCCGTCATCAGGTCGTGATTTATTTTGTTTTATTTTATACCTACGTGACTTTATCGAAAGAACCAAACAGTATGTATTCCTGCAGTCACGAAAGCTTCAAATCAAGAGTGTTAATGTTGATGCTAACAAACGTTGTTAGAAGAAGAAAAAAAAGACCAACAACAACCCCGTGTCTCTTCACATTTTGAAACACTAGCATGCACTGAAGACGGATTGCTTTCAGAATAAGCTAACGCCGCCTTGAGAGCAGAGAAGAAGTTGGCTACACTCCGTTCCCCGAAGTGAGTAAGCCCAGCTTCAGTACACTTTTGCGGTCGGTCTGACACCGTCTGACATTGAACAGGGAAGGCAGCCCTGCAGTGTGACCTTGTTTAAAGGGTGGGGCGTTATACATAAACTTAGGGGGCGCGACAAAGGCAATGTTGGCTATGAGATGTTAACTCCCTCGCCTGGTATGCAGGTGGTCGTGGGTTCGATGCCGACCCTGACACCTGCTGCTGCTGCTGTGTATTTGGAGTGTTCGTGTTTCTCTCTCCCCGTGGTCGCGTGGATTTTCCCCCTCCGCGTTTAGAAACACGCGTTTAGAGTATTTGGTTGCTGTCAATTTGGACACGATAAGCCGCTTCGTTGAGCTATCGTTTGTGGCCAGGTCGCTTCTGATAAAGAGCTACATAGCTCAGTGGGCCTTACCTGGTAAAATATTTTTTTAAATAGTTTTTAAACAAATGTTAAACTCTAAACAGAATGAGTACAGATACCATTGCTCTTAGTCGATCATCCTTTTTTGCTCAAGCTCGCATTCTTTACTCATATATATGAAATATGGACAATATTTATCATCTTTCATTTAGAACGGGGGAGGGGGGCTGAGCCCTTAGCAGAGGGGCTTTGAGCCCCCCCCTCCCCACTGAAGCTACATGGCTGAGGGGAGTGTGAGCAGTGGTGACGTGACCCCTGGGAACATTTTGAGGGAGTAGTTGGGGCGCGGCGTCGTTGGCTGGGCCAAAGGTTTCCCGGTCCATGATACAGGCTGTTCTTTTGGGGGTTAGATCACGTAAATATATAAATCGTTAAACCCGCCACCACCAGACACAGCCAACTAGTAAGGGTTGTCACGTAAACAGAACGTGGCCAATTCGTCACCAGTACAGCACACCGGTGTGTGTTGGAGAGCCAAGCCACAACATTTACAATCTTGAGTACGACGTTTCGCCAGTAATTACAACTACCTTGATCAGGCGACAGCCAGATGCCCGGCGCTGCCACAGCAACCGTTATATTGGGAGACGTGTTCTTTCCGCAGGTTATTCCCAAGGTGCCAGGCCGTATGTGACCAGACTTATCTCAAGAGAGAGAGAGAGAGCAATTGGAAAGCTATCTCACACCGAGCGGGCATAAAGCAGAGTTTACAGCCGCACTGGGAGGATGTCCCCGTGAACCCGGTGACGCGAACGTGTTTGCTTTTTGAATTTTTTTTTTCCACACGCAAATTTGTTTCGTACTGGATTCATTTTCCGGTGCCGGCGGCAAATTCATACATTCACCCAAAAGATAATCTTGCAGATGTGAGGATATTTTTTACGGATATATGCCTATAATGGGATTCGGTAATACCACCACACCTTCCTGTTATCAACGCGGATTACAGCCGTTACACTGCATTTGTTCACACGATTCGACAATTACACACGTGTGAATGCAATCCAGATTGTATTTACATCACGTGTGTTTTCTGTTAACTTCCAGCATCTAAATGCAACCGCATCTCAAAAATCTGCAGATAAATGTATGTAGTTGTAAGAACACTGCGGGTGGCTGACAATTGAGCCGCTTGTAAGCCACACAGCACCTCACGTCAGCACGCACTCCTGATGGATGTCTTCTCGCCCCATTTTGATCTGATAGAAGAGGAACGCAAAGTTTAGCGTCATTATCCTGATGTCCCAGGCAGCACAGTTTGTGCATTGTCAATACGTGTGACATAAACACGACATGGCTCAGTAAAATAACACGTGCGGCGATAAATCACTTCTTCCCGACGCAAGACATTTGAAGTCGCCGCCTCTCCGAATGCATATTCCTATTAGGACGTCATTAAAGCTATCAACGCGGTCCCCCCCCCCCCCCCCCCGGTTCAGCAGGTGCAAGCCTATCCCTGTCTCTACGGTGCACCGATTGATGCCAACTTGGGCAGCTGAAGACATAATTGTGTTCTTGTCGGGCAATGCGTACGATGCCCTCCTCATTGGGTCTCGAAAGGCGAGGGTGATGATGGCCTCCGCTGGACAAGCCGACATCTGCCAGCGTGCCCTGCCTGGGCCAAAATTTATTTGTACTCTGCCCTCTTGAAATGTAGTGCCATCGGAGACCGTCCTGTACAAGAAGTGCTCATAAAGCTAAGGATAGTGCGGCGTGACGTCATAGCGCTGCTGCCCTTATACTTACTCCAACACGAGGGAAGCGTGTTGAGACAAGGCGCTAATCAAAGTTGCGAAACTCTCCATCTACCCATGAACATCTCACTGAGGCTCAAGACTATTTTCAAGAGAGTCTTGCATGGGGATGTTTTGGACATATTCCATGAATGGGTGTTTGGATTTTTTTTTAATCGCACGAGCAGGGTTATTTGTGCCTGAAAAAAGCACGCCACCCAAATGTGTGTTTATTCCCAAGAGTTTAATTGAATGCCGCTTTTCAGGAGGAGTTAATGGTCAAATGAGAGAGAGTTACACAATGCCATTTAGAACCTTTCATTCAACTATTGCTGGAAGAACCTCCCCATATCACGTCGATCGTGGAAGCTGATTGACCATACTTCACCACGCTGGCCAGTACGGGTTTGTGTCGGGGGCCCACAATCGGTTTGGGTATCATTTGCCACTGATGTTGGCCGTGGCTGGGAATTGAACTCAGGTCGCCGGGTCTACAGCGCAGTGCCCTAACCATTGTTCCAGTGCTCCACCTTCAATGGACTCAGATACACGCCTTTGGATACTATTTATATTTTCTCTCCCCAGCTCACTCTGTGTAAAGACAACCGCTCCCTGATCTCATTAATGTGGCCTCCTCGCAGTTCTTAGCCACTGAATGGTGAGTTGGGTGGCATTAATTCCGGCTAATTGGGTTAAATATGGGCACATAGTTACACACAAAAGTCCTGCATTTAGCATTCCTTAATTGTTGTAAATGCTTCATAGTAATTTTAGGCGGTCTTAGCTGCCAAATAAGCCCAAATTAAGGGCATTTAAAACTTTTAAAGAATACAATTCCCGTGCCCCAATACAAAGTTCGTATTCAAATGTGGCCAGTGCTCTGTGGCCAGCATATGTGACATTACTTTGAAACGATGAAAAATTTAGTGGGTGCCAAAAAAACAAGTCTGTGCAGGCTCTGCTTCCGCGTGTTTAGATTTTTGTTACATTATTAATCAACATCTGTTGATTAACTGCCGTCTATATTATAGCCACCCAATATTTCAAAATCAAGCACATGTCTGTGTATTATATATACAATGTATTCAGCAGGGAAACTGCTTTTCTTTAATATATTAAAAAAACAGCTAAATTGCAGAGAACACTAACGCAGACTGGAACTAAGCGGACTTTGTTTTTGTATATCCAGCATGGCGTTGAAAAGCTTTTTAACTTCCGTGCCTCACGTGTGATCTTGTGCATGATGCAGCAAAGTGCCGAGCCAAATTCCATGTTAATGAACAAAATGTTCTCTCCATTTTTTTCCCCCAATTCCTTTGAGACCTTCCCAACATTAGCGAGCTATTCCGCAAGCGGAAGTAACCCCATCACAACAAAACACACGAGTGCTTGCTCGTTCCTGGCGCATGTCTTCGGTCACTTAGAATTTCAAACGTTGTAACCTTTGTTGCTGGTTTTAATGTGCCTGAAACAGACACCGCTGCACTGCGGCTTCGGGAGGGTGTAGACGTGGCCCAGCGGGGAGCGCGTTCGCCGCTCGTTGCAGAGGCTCACGGTTCGAATCCAGCGGCCGCCCCAGCTATTACTACATATGTATTAACCGTAATGATACTATTTGTATACTTAATTTACCAGGTGGAGCCCCCTGAGCAACGAGCACGTTTTTCAGAGGCGACCTGGCCGCTTATGATAGCTAATCGAAGTGGCTTACATCATTACCTCCAATTATCCCGCACCTCCGATGAGCACAGTTTTGCTACGTATGGCACAAAAGAGGTTCAAAGTACGTACATAACATAGGGGAATTTATAGTCGTGGCAAAATAATCTGAAAGGATGTTTCTAAATGTGGACGGCAAAACCGGAGGACCCGGAGAAAAATCCACACGACCACGGGGTGAGAGAACATGCAAACTCCAAATATGTAACAGGCGTCAGGGTTTGGATAAGGAGTGAACCCACTACCCCCTACATACCAGGCAAGGGAGATAATGTCTCACCACAGTGTACATTAAAGATCCCTTGATATCATTGCCAAAACTAGGCCACTGTGTGCCGTTGTTAAAAACGTATCCGCAAAATGACAAATTTTGGGATTATACATAGCAATCATCGCCTCCCACTGGCAGGACGCAGCTCCAGGTCACTCTAGAAAATGAGACTATTCTGGTCTCTTGAAGTTCTCACCTGGTTGAACTCAATACGTTGTAAACTCGCAGTTAGAGCAGCGAGCGGAGTTGCAGAGAGGTAGCCAACAACGCTCAGTGTTTTCATAATAGACTTGTTTTTTTTAACCCCCCCCCCAAAAAACAACTATTGTGGACGATGTTGGTCGCGAACGCCTACGACGTGTTAAACTGGTCAGTGTATTGTCAGCCCATATGTTGCCTGTGCCTTTTGGTCACGCGTATCACTCTTGAGGAGCACGGGTTGTTTTGCCCCATTTTTTGTTATTGTGCATTCCTGTACTTTTCCGAAAACTTTAAGCAAACGAATAATGAAACAAATAGATGAACGCCCATGCTGTACGTTTGCTATGTAATATTTCTCGCTCGAAGTTCCGGGCAAAAATAACATCCTCTGCTTATTGCAGCGTAAGTAGTGTTGTAATTTTCGGTCCAGAGTTTTAGCAAAATTTACCCAGGAGTATGCCAACTTAAGTCACCCAAATACTCGTAGACATTCGAGCGCAAATACAGTGAGGGAAAAAAGTATTTGATCCCCTGCTGATTTTGTACGTTTGTCCACTGACAAAGAAATGATCAGTCTATAATTTTAATGGTAGGTTTATTTGAACAGTGAGAGACAGAATAACAACAACAAAATCCAGAAAATCGCATGTCAAAAATG